CTCCCTCTCTGTTTCTCTCTCTCTCTCTGTTTCTCTATCTCTCTCTGTTTCTCTCTCTCTCTGTCTGTCTCTCTCTGTCTGTCTGTCTGTCTGTCTCTCTCTGTCTGTCTGTCTCTGTCTGTCTGTCTCTCTCTGTCTGTCTGTCTGTCTCTCTCTCTCTCTCTCTCTCTCTCTCTCTCTCTCTCTCTCTCTCTCTCTCTCTCTCTCTCTCTCTCTCTCTCTCTCTCTCTCTCTCTCTCTCTCTCTCTCTCTCTGTCTCTGTCTCTCTGTCTCTCTGTCTCTGTCTCTCTGTCTCTCTGTCTCTGTCTCTGTCTCTGTCTCTCTCTCTCTCTCTCTCTCTCTCTCTCTCTCTCTCTCTCTCTCTCTCTCTCTCTCTCTCTCTCTCTCTCTCTCTCTCTCTCTCTCTCTCTAAAATATTATTAGTCTGATATTTGATTTTTGTTTACCATCAAAAGACTAATATTATACAAAAGAAATATTTATAGAGCATTAAATACAGTAGGTGTGGAGAAATACATATGCAGGGACTATGGAACTGAAAGTTGTGCAAGAAGTATGATAATAGTATTATATTAATGAGAAGGAGAAAGTTATTTGATTTAGTGATGAAAGAACTTACTATTGGAAGTCAGAAAAAATTGTAGAACCTTTGACAAGCCAGTGTCTGGGATATATTTGAAATTTACAAAGATGTAAGCAGCATTTGCCATGATTGTCTACAACAATTTGATTTTATATTAATAGGAATTTCAGCAATTTTTGTTTTGGTTCTCACTTCAGAATGTGTATAGTTCTGACATCATAAAAAATGCTGGATAGATTTACGTTTATAATAAGGAACATTGAGTAATAGTGAAGTATACTTAAGAATACCAAACCTAGTTTCAGAATCTGATGTCTGCTTGATCTATCTGGTTACAAAATATTAGATTTTATGTTACAGGGATACCATCATGCTAGCCAAAGGCAACTCTGTACTCTGGAGACTACTAGTAATGTGCACAGTAATGTGGCTAACAACTGTGACGGCAGGTGGTGACCAAGTCCACACAGCAGCTAGTACTCATGATATGGCTGTGGATGGTGACACTGTTCAGAAAAAAAAAATCAAAGAAAATGTGCTTAAGAATTGCAAAGATACTGTAGTAAATGAAAAGAGATATGTTGGGATCACTGATACTCTTAGATTTCAAGATGATAGTGCATGTAGCTTAGACTGTGGTGAGGAATGTGGATCTAACCAAGAGAACTTGAAAAATACTCAAGAAACAGCAAGAGGCAGCAGTTACTTATCATCAGATTTGCAGAATGGATGCTCTTCAGTATGGTGCCATTCTTCCTTGGAATCTGGCCTTCGGTGTCACTTTAGCAATTTGTATTACAACCACCTGCAGGAGGAATTTGTTTTTGTGTCTTGTGATCACTCCATTATCTATGGAATAGAAAATTTAAAAGCTCTTCAGGAGACATTATATCTCTCATCGGTGGAGAACCATTCTGCATTTAAATTGTCAATATCTGTCATACCTTGGTCAACTTTTATTACCTCATATAGAAGTGAAGTCATTACTGGCCAGAGCTTAGTAATGGCTCGATTTAAGCCTGATAATCTCCTGCATGTTTTCCATGATGATTTATTACCCTTCTATTTTACAAGCTATGAAATATGTGCTGGCAAGAAGTCATGTCAGTCCAGGTTAAATGTTATATTTGTTGATAAGAATGACCATGGCAAACACTGGAGTTTTTACAAAGTGTTATCAGAAAGGGTATCATTAATATCCGATCTTAGTCATAATGAGAAGGATGTATGGATTCAATTTGAGCATATTTATTTTGGATTAAACAAGATCAGTGTATGGTATCAGTATGGCTATGGTAAGCCCCAAGGCCCTACCACTAGTACTAGCTTTTCAGGCCACTTGATGAGGAAATTCACAGATTTTGTCCTAGAAGGCATGAATATCCAGCCAAAGGCAACAGAAGTTCTACAGGGAGTGCTGTTGTCTCGGAAGTCAAATCGTAAGATAATAAATGAAAAGGAAGTGTCCACTGTTTTGAAAACCCAGCTTGATAAAATAAGTAATGGTCAAGAGGCAGATGTTAAAATACTCTCTCAAGAAGAACACGGCTTTCACAGAATGATAGAGGAGCTAACTAGGACACACGTGGCAGTTGGAGTGCATGGTGCAGGACTGATTCTCTCAATGTTCCTACCTCCTGGTGCTGTTTTGATAGAGATATTCCCTTTGGGTATCAGTCCAAGGGCTGCAACAGTGTTTAAAACAATGTGTGAACTAAAAGGTGTTGGTATTACATATATCCCTTGGTCAAACAAGGATTTGCAAAATTCCATCTATCACTCTGATAACCCTGCACATTATGGTGGAATAAGCCATTTGCCAAAGGATGAACAGGAGAAAATGATTCAGGCTCTTGGAGGTAAAGAAATAATCAACGTCGAATGCTGTGACAATCCTACTTGGCTCTTTAGGATATACCAAGACACAGTTGTTCATATTGAAGGGGACAAAACTGACTTCCAAAGTATGCCATTCTCAGAAGCTATTGTTAATGGTTTACAGAAAGCTGAAAGGTATTTGCAGAATAGTAAAATAACCAATACACAGATGGAGTTTTATCCTTCTGTGGTTAAGGATGCAAAATGCAGTTTAGAGAGAAGTCATGAATCCACAAAACTTTTTGCTGAGTGGAAACCACCATGGAATATCTTGGATGTAAGATGTACCATTATGTTTTATGAAGTGGTAATGCAGATAAAAGGTGATATCAATGCAGTTTACAATGAAGTCTTTGAGGAGAATTTTTTAAAGAGGTTAAGAGCAGATGTTGAGACTGTTGATTTATGGATAACATGCTTTTGCAATAATATTGAAGGTGTTGTACTTTATCTCAGATGCATGTAAATTATTGTATATATGTAAATCTTTAGGATATGTATGATCTAGTCTTTCTTTCAATTCTTTGAGATTAATTCAGAAAAAAAAGTTATCATTTTGAAAGTTTTGTAGACCTTGTCTAATTTGAGTAATAATAAGGTTACTTATTTATATGGTATAAATAGGCTGTGAGTTTCTAGCTTTTGGCTAGATATAGACATTTAGATCTATACCCAGAGAACTGTGTAATGTGATAGTTGAAATACATAGGTTATTATGTGCATACAATCATACACAGTGAATAAACTGAAATCTTACAATGCATAGAAGAATTTAATGTAGAAATTTTCTTGTACAGTATAAAATAGTAAGAGTTTTAGACTTCCAATATTTTATTGGTTAAACACTTTTCTGTATAATGTGAGACAGTATTTAGTATTTTTATATTGCATTATAAATAAAGTTTTCTTTACAAATGACATTTTCTTTACCAAACTGACTAAAGACGAAAGACTTGTGATGTAGACCTGGTGAAATATACACACTGTTGTGAAAATCTGTAATCCTGAAATGAGTATCAGAGTGAATAAAAATAACCATCCAGTATTATTGGCAGCTTAAGCTTAAGGAGATATGCCATGATGAATAAAAATATATGTTATTAAAAGTGATATTTTCATGAAAATTAGAAAAGCTAAATAAACAAGAGAAGGTATTTCTAAGCATTATAATTAATTTCATGAGATTGGTTTTAACTTAGGTACATTCATGGCTTGGTTTGGCCGTAAGACTTTTTTATATCAGAAATATGAATTATTTATTTAATTTTATTATGGTTGCATGTACACACCTTAAAGACTTTGGTTTTTATCAATGAACACTAAGTAATATAATGTTATCCAATAGCAGACCTCCATGCATTGTATATGATTTTCAGAAGAAAAATATTTTAGGAAGTAGAATCTTTTTATTTTCTTATTGTTATTAGATGTAAGATACTGGAAGTACACACAAAAGTAAATAAATTCTCTTCATAAATATTTATGCATCTAAGGCAATTTGGAATTGCATAATTCTATTCTATATCCTACTGAAGAAAATTGTCACACCAAACCAAAAGGCAGAACAAACCATGACTACCAATTTAATTTTTCTACTTTCATTACAGCATTTTTAATACCAACAGTAAACTTGTCAGTCAGCCATGGAGGCCAAAACATCACAAGGGAAAGAAGAACAGTGGCTGCCGGCAGTACGTCATTACCATCCTGGGATCTGCCATGTTTGTTTAGAAATGCCCTCACAGAAGTGCTCCCTCAAACGGTGTGCCCAGTGCCAGCTTGTGTCCTATTGCTCCAAACAGTGCCAGAAAAAAGACTGGTCATCTCACAAGTAAGTGACTTTTTTTTTTACCATTGTAAAGATACTTATCAAACTGTACATAACCAGTTTCATTATATTGAAATGATTAAGTAGCTATGTAGTTGGTAACTGCTCAGAATGTCTGTGTGTGTGCATATTTGTGTATGTGTGAGATATGTGTGTATGCATAGTATAGGTACATGTACAGAAATAAAATTGGTAGATATTTGTAGTAGGGGGTTTATGTATATGTATATACAGTGTATATCTTTCTTTGCCATAGGTGAGAGTATAAATATTGGTTCTTCAGTTATAAGAATCACAACCAGCTCTGATGGGTCTTGATATAGTTGGTGAATCCACTAGATACTGGGGTTAAAGACTACTTTCCTTCAACTTGAAATTTACATTATTTTATAGGGCTTTATAAGATTATCAGTCATTGTAATGCTATTTATGGAACTTGCCATTAATAATGATATATATCTTTCAATAGGCACCTTTGTCAAGCAAACAAAGTGGATAACGGCAAGAATATCTTTTCACAAGCAAAGGTAAAAGTTCACAATAAAAGATCCTGGCAAGAATTTCGGAGCTGCTTGCAGGTTGCTGCAAATATTAACCTGCAACGACGTTTGGAGGTCTTTGAAGATGAAATATTTTTATATCCAAGAGTGTGTGAGGTATGCCGAGAGTCAGATAATTCACGCATGATAGATTGTAGTCGTTGTCATTCTGTGTTTTACTGTTCAGATGTTCACCGTTCAGAAGATGTTAAGCGTCATGAAAAATGGTGTAATAATTACCTTCTTTGTATTAAGTGTGATGTTGTAGAGTACAAGAAAGGAGTTCCAGATCTCCCTTTTCCTACTCAGGTTGATAGTGAATATAAGAAATTGCCAAAGAAGATGGTAGATCTTCTTAGGCCACAGCTCAACACCAAAGATGTTTCTGAGGATGAATTAGACCCAAAGCTTATTGTAATATTGTCTGAGAGACTTTCATATCCGTTATCCCTCTTGTATGGTATGCAGCTACTCTCACTTGGCCAAAACAGGAAGTCTGTGGAACAGCTAACAGAGTTGAAGGTTCATGTAGTGGGAGCAAAAAGTACAAAAGAATTGCTGGGCATCATCCGATGGGAATATATGCTTCATCGATTGCCGGCTCTAATGAAACTCCACATTGTGTTCATTGGACCTGAGTTATTCTCTGATTCAGGTTTGAGTGAGGAACTTCCAGATAACCACTGCCTAGATGACAGTGGAATGTCCCGATGTGATGATTGTCAGAGTAGAAACCGGGCCATTATTTACGAGATGTGTGAGATGCTGTACCACGACTATGCCAAGACTTCCTACTTTCAGAACCCTGATGTCATTATTTCCTTTAATTGTGGTTTTCATGAATTTGAAGGTGAAGAGAAAGACACATGGCCAGCTTCTTTATCCATCATGTTAAAAAATCCAGATATACCTGTAATTTTTACATCATACACAAAAACAGAATCTGAAAGAGATCTTGAAGTCTTGAAAAAGATTGAGGATGTAGAAGTCCTCATGCCAGTCGAGATGAATCCTTACTGTAGCTTAAGGCCCATACGAGATTTTACGAGAGAAGATGACTGTGACATGTTTTTTGTGAATCAATATATATCATGTGTGAGAAGAAAAAAATCATAAGTCTTTGATTCAGAAAATAATGAATGAATATGAATCATGATTACTTTATTTACTAAAACAAGAATTCACAAAGTAATACTATAAAAGAAGCATCTATAATTAACTTTTTAGGAAACATATGGTACAAATATATTTTAATCGGTCAACAGAAGAATTTTAATTTTGGAAAATATATCAATATCATGTATTCTGGGTATCCAGACATTATTTATGTTTTTTTTCTCTTTTTTTAACTAGAATAAACAAAAATGGATTTTTACTATATTCAATAGAACAATTACTTTCTCATAGTTAATATAATTATTGTGATGAAGAAAGTTTAGGATGAAAAATTAATGTGATTATATACTGCTAAATCAAAAAAATCATTATGCTTTGATGATATTATTAGAAAATTACCTTAAACTGTGTTAGTTCCCTTGAAGTTACCATACATCAAAGAGTAAGTGTAAGTAGAGTTAGTATCCTAACTTTCAAAGAAGTAGAATTTTAATGCACTGGGAAACAAACTTTATTTTTTAAGGGCATTATTAGTTTATATTTGTCCCTGTGTGTTGAGTGCACAAGTAATTCTCAAGTTCTTACAAAGTACAAAAGTGGTATACATTGTTTGAGTTTATGGGCTGTGTGTTGTTTGTGGTGATCAGTTTGATTTTTCTTTAATAGATAATTGAATAACAGCATTTGCTAGTTTCACTCATGGCCTTGTCTTGTAATAAGTTTCTCTGCACAACTTTACCATTATGTAGTTTGGTTTTAACTAAGTGTATTTTACAGAAGACAATAAAATGATTTGTGTTACAGTGCTAGATGGGGTATTATATATATGCAAGTGCAAAAACAAACACACACACACACACACACACACACACACACACACACACACACACACACACACACACACACACACATATATATATGCAAAGTATCCCATCCTTTTTAAAAATATAGTTTCACATTTTTTAAACATCTTCAATTTACTCTAATTACTTAATAAGTATACATTCAAAACTGGCCTTGAACAAGATGTTTACAGGAATGTTATCGTATCATGATCATTTTCTCTACAGGTATCCTTATTTACCTGTATAGTGGTGCTTTTAGTTTATTTTAGCCCTTTGGTCCTAAGAGATCATGCATAAAATCAAACTATTGGCAATATTTTTGCTTGTTTATTCGGCTGTTATGCCTAGAAATACCCCACTTATTTTTACTTAGATTATATTTAAATGTGTTTTAGTGATTAATATGTAATAAGTCTTCACTTTTATTGTTTTATGAAAATCATTAGGTGTTTTCATTCTGCTATGCAAGTAGTACAAAAAGCTTATATTTTTTCTGTATTACAATCCTATAAAACAAGTTTAGTACAAAACTACTTCATAACAGCTAATGAGACACCTATCTAACTCAGTACAATTTAAGTTCAAAATGTATTTTTTACTAATGTAATATAAGAATGAAATGTTTGATGTATATTTCTGTGTTCCCTATTAACAGTGTTCAATATTAAAATGATTCTTCAAACTCCTGCCATTTCAATAACATTGTGCATTGTTTTATTTTGTTGTCCTTTAGTTATTAGAAGATAGGCTTAATGTTTTTTTTTTTTTTGTTAAGACATCTTTACCATTTCAAAAAGCTATTTTTGGTTTTGGTTCACTGCATTATCTGGACTGATCTCCATCTATCTGCTCCTTTTACAAACTTAGGCAGATAAGCTTACAACATTCCAAGGCTTCAATTTTCCAACATTTATTCTTAAGCAATGCCACCAAATTATCCACACTTTGAGAGAAAAGATATTTTTCGAGGTAGGTAGTGTATCATATTGCTTTATGTTGCAAACATCGTTGGCAAAAATGTCTCTGCCTTTAATCCATTTGCTTGATTCATTCAGACTCCAAACTTGATGATGTTTATGACTTAGTAGTATGAAGTTTCTTGAATATGCTAGGCTGTACATCACAATTTCTCTCTCTCTCTCTTTCTCTCTCTCTCTCTCTCTCTCTCTCTCCTCCTCTCCTCTCCCTCTCCTCTCTCTCTCTCTCTCTCTCTCTCTCCTCTCCCTCTCCCTCTCCCTCTCCCTCTCCCTCTCCCTCTCTCTCTCTCTCTCTCTCTCTCTCCTCTCTCTCTCTCTCTCTCTCTCTCTCTCTCTCTCCCTCTCTCTCTCTCTCTCTCTCTCTCTCTCTCTCTCTCTCCTCTCCTCTCTCTCTCTCTCTCTCTCTCTCTCTCTCCCTCTCCTCTCCTCTCCCTCTCCTCTCCCTCTCCTCTCCTCTCCCTCTCTCCCTCTCCTCTCCCTCTCTCCCTCTCCTCTCCTCTCCCTCTCTCCCTCTCCTCTCCTCTCCCTCTCTCCCTCTCCTCTCCTCTCCCTCTCTCCCTCTCCTCTCCCTCTCTCCTCTCCCTCTCCTCTCCTCTCCTCTCCCTCTCTCCCTCTCCTCTCCCTCTCTCCTTCTCCTCTTCTCTCCCTCTCTCCCTCTCTCCCTCTCTCTCTCTCCTCTCCCTCTCCTCCCCCTCTCTCTCTCATCTCCATCTCCCTTTCCCTCTCCTCTAACTCTCCTTCTCCCCCCCTCTCCCTCTCCCCTCTCTCTCTCTCTCTCTCTTCTCTCTCTCTCTCTCTCTCTCTCTCTCTCTCTCTCTCTCTCTCTCTCTCTCTCTCTCTCTCTCTCTCTCTCTCTCTCTCTCTCTCTCTTCCTCTCTTTCTCTCTTTCTCTCTTTCTCCCTCTCTCCTTCTCTCCCTCCCACTATTTCTATTATTTTTAAAAGCAAACTATACATAAACATTTCCCCAGGTTGGAAAGTGTTAAAATAAAAATGAAAATTCATTATTAACAAGTATTTTATTGCTTATTTTAATCAAATAAAATCTTAATCTACAAAAAAGTTTTTTTCATGATATACAGGAGCAATATGACCATATGAAAACTTAAGCACTGCAATTTAAAACTAAAAATAAGCACAGGAATTAGTCCAGCCTGAAAATAGAGTAACAATAGTCTACTTCAAAATGCATGTTTTACATAAATAGGAGTACATGAATCTTAGCAATTAGTCTATATCTGTTTATCTTTACACAAATCATATATTTTTTTATGTAGCTAGACCTCTAAGGATCCTGGTACTTTAGAGTATTCATATAGTATGCAAAAGATGTTTAGAATGTAAAAAGTATATATTTTCAAACATACACATGCACACCATGACTCTTTTGAAGAAAATGGCTCAAGTGAGAGAGAGAGAGAGAGAGAGAGAGAGAGAGAGAGAGAGAGAGAGAGAGAGAGAGAGAGAGAGAGAGAGAGAGAGAGAGAGAGAGAGAGAGAGAGACAGACAGACAGACAGACAGACAGAGACAGAGAAATCATGTTCTTCAGTCTCCTTGCCAATAATTGCTACAAAACACATTGGTATAGAAAACAAAAGGTAAAGTGTATCCAATCTAATAAAAGGATCTGAAGAAACTGTACCATTAATATTTTAGTAAAATGAACATTTCATGCCACCCTAGCGATGCCTTCATTTTTTTCCACTAAATGAAATAACAGAAAAAGGTAAATATTTAAAATGTATATTCATTTCATTACCATATAAAGAAGAAATTTTATCTTCCTTATCAGAGGTCTTATATATATATATATATATAGATAGATAGATAGATAGATAGATAGATAGATAGATAGATATAGATATAGAAATATATATAGATATAGATATATAGATAGATAGATATAAAGATATATATTCATATATATGGTAGAAAACCCCCACAATGTGAAACTAGATTTATTGAAAGTGGGACAACAGTTTCGGAATCCACCTGGAATCAATATATGTGTATGTATGTATATATATATGTGTGTGTGTGTGTGTGTGTGTGTGTGTGTGTGTGTATGTATATATGTATGTATAATATTATATATATATATATATATATATATATATATATATATATATATATATACATATATATATATACACACATATATACACAAATGTGTGTGTATATACATGTGTATATACGTATATACATATACACATACATATATACTTATACACATACACATACATACATACATACATATATATATATATATATATATATATATATATATATATATATATATATATATATATATATATATATACATATATATATATATATATATATATATATATATATATATATATATATATATATATAAATATATATATATATATATATATATATACATATATATGCATTATACATCTATATATACATATAAATATAGAATACAATGTGTATATAGAGATATATAACAGGTATAGATATATATATATATATATATATATATATATATATATATATATATATATATATATATATATATATATATATATATATATATATCTGTTACCCATGCACAATAAATACATTACTTTAAGCAAAAATATATCCTCTTGATTTGAAGATATTTATTAATCACAATAGTTTGCAGAAAGCGGTGTTACGTCCCCGGCGCTTCAGGAAAGGTCATTTCAATTTCATTAATCATATTTCCTGTAAATATGTACTTATATAGGTAACTCTTGCGCATTAGATTTGAAAAAAAATCTGCATACATTTGAATGTATTTTTGAATCTGAAATAAAATGAGCGATGTAGAAAATCGAATGGCATAATCACATGTACACATTATTTGATGTAAGTCAGGTTTCATTTAGAGTGAGCGTGTCCATGATTGCATTAGTATAATAACTAATTAAACCATATATACGGCATTTTGAGTGATATAATTAATTTAATGTATTGATATTCTTATATGTGGCACCGCGCCTGCCTGAGACACTCTTGAGACAAATTTTCGTATAAGAATTGTTTGAGAAATGCTCGAATAACTTTATGACATCTAGATAAACAAAACTTTTATCATTAAGAAATCTGTTTAAGTTTTTGGTACTCAGAGCCAGAGTAAACGTTTAAGGGCGAAAGGAAAGATAATAGGTCTACAGAGACATTTCCATGCTTTGTAAAGAATTTCCGGTTTATCTCTGTGTTCTTTGGTTTGTTTACTTTTCGATTAGAAGTAAATCATTTATCTTTTATTGCCTTATTAAGATCAGGATTTGTGCTTATCAAATATACATTAAACTAATATTTTTACTCAAATTTGGTCGTTCGCAATATCTTTGTATTTCGTATAGACAGTTTCGCATGTTAAATTTAGCGCCAAAGTCAGAGTCACAGAAAGTTTTATTTGGAAAATATGTTACAGATAAAGTAATTTACAAAAATAAAATTAGTTATTCTTATTCTCATTAATCAAAAATAATAAAATTGAAATTATCTAATGATAATGACACTGGTCTAATTATAAGACTGTAAAATTCTGTCAGTCTCATAACGAGTTCATGATTTTGAAAACACAAACCACTGGTGCTATTTCTCGTAAAGGTAAATTTCTTTTAATTGATAAATTGTCACGCGTCGTTTGTTTCATATAATAGGATAACCAACTCAGGCCCTTAATACTGTCACATGAGGATACTGCAAGAATAACCAGGACTTATTTTACACACAATAAGGCGAAATGAAAGTTACGCCTTCTAAGCAGTTCAACAATAGGCCTTGGGTAAATTATCTGTCATGCAAAGGTATTCCGAATATTTACCGACGCCTTGAATGAATAGGGATACTAACAGTCAACAGCACTTGAATCAGTACGAAAATGCGCATACTACGTAGTTATTAACTTATTATAGTAACTTACGACTTGGTCATAATTTACGTCACACATTCGTAACGAAATGAATCATATAATCTGAATGTTTCCTTTTCTCTCTCTCTATCTTTTCATTCAGAGGACTAGCTATAATTAAGTCATATTTTGTTTTATCCTACTAAATGCTAACATTGTGTACAGCCCATTTATAGTAGTTCAAAAGGTGTGCATTTCTGATACTGTCAGTATACGTACCACTGGACAGTATTTGCCAGGCCCTGTCCACTTATAGAGGTTCTGTAATGATATTGGTGTTGAAAGCAGGGTAGGGTGTGAAGTCTATACATCAATGAAATTGGAAAATAATTTTGTATGTAATAATGATGAATTAAGCAAATACAGTGCAAAAACAATCATATGGGCTGCCTTCAATACTGTCCTTAAATTTCTCTTCCACTTGCTCTCATGTTTCTTCCTTTTCCCTTCCCTTCCCCCTCCCCGTCTCTTCTTAAGCTAGATATCATTTTCTTTGCATCGCAGTAAACATTTTAGGTAAGTCACCACAATGAGCAGCGAGTCAACAAAGATAGCCGAGCTCCAGCAGCGTCTGGAGGAGGCCGAAAAAAATACAATAATGGCAGCGACCTATGGCAAACAGCTGCTGGACGAGAACCACGAACTCCACTCCAAACTAGAAGAAACCATTAAGGAATATACAATTAAAATGGAGGTTGGTTGTAAAAAAAACATTAGTCCCCAGTCTAGTATATTTTATTATAATGCTTGAATTCTGATTACTTTCTTTACAGTCTGAGTTAGTGTGTAATTCCTTTGTAATTTTGTCTAGAGTTTTTATCAGTTTTCAGATTTCATTATCTGATTCATGAAATAAGTAGTATTCACTGTATTCAATTCTTTTCAGTTCACTATTTTAGGATGTTATCATATTCATTATTATTTTTCGTAAATGTTATAAGAACAACTTATTTCCCTATGTCTTAACCTAATGTCACTTTAATTTTTACTACAGGAACTTGAGCAAGAGAAACATTGTGTGACACTCAAGCTGGAAGCAAAACTGCAGACTGAGCGATCATTAGCCTTAGAATTAGAACAGTTTCGGGATCAGCAGTCACACCAGATCAAGTCTGCTGTGGAACAAGCAACTCAGGAGCATGCTCAGGAGATGAACAAGCAGTCAAAGAAGGTTCTGTCTCAATGAATTACTTGATATTTTGTTTTATTTGTCAAACTGTAAATGAATGCTTTCTTTTCTTTTCTTTTTGATATAAGAGTGTACTTTTTCTCAGATGACAGAGTTAAAAGCTGTGATCGACAGTCAGCAGATTGAGATCAGCCAAGTGAAAGACCACACTGACTTGCTGGAAGCTCAGCTGAAAGAAGCACAGGAGAAACTGGACATGTGTAACGTATCCATCCATGAGCAGTCAACAGATGAGGCCACAGCTTCTATGCAGGTAACATTGGAAAGTTTAAATGATTGAGATGATAGAATATATCTGCTATACCAGATGCATATGAAAAGTTTTTTTTCCATATGCACTAATGGCAGATTTTGGTGAATTTCAGAGTCAGATTATGACATTGACATGTGAAAAGCAGGACTTAGAAACACAGGTGTCATCACTAAATGCTCAGGTGAAGACCATGACACACAAACTGTCTCAGGCAGAGAAAGCAGTAACGAGGCTTGAGGCAGAAGTGGAAGAGAAGGAATGTCAATGTACATCATATTACAATACCCTGGAGGTAAGGTTGCTTTCTTACTTATAAGCAAAGTACCACGCACAGTATTATCTTTTAGGATACCCAAAACAGGAGATAGTTTTACATTGGGAACATAATTTGGTTACAAAGAAGGACAGGATGTTTTTTTCTGGTATCAGAAGACATGACTTGGGAGTGATGCTGTTCAAGAACTTTTGAATTTTATAGCATGTCTGTTCTGTGGACTCAAGCATAGCCAACTGTTTATGTTGCAGATTCAACCAACAAGTACAACTGCTCTGCTTGCAAAACCTCAAATGAAGGGGAAAACATTGATAAAAGATTTCTTGGATGTTTGCACCCAGTATGAAGATAATGAATATCATCTCTAAAGATGTTAGTAGCTTCATGTTTTAGAGATATACCTTGAATTGGTGGTAGAGCTTCTTTGACATTTACTGGACTTGTGGGTTACTTAGTTTTCAGGCTCATATAATTTGATCTAAACATACTAGTAAGTAATTGATTTTAAAACAAACTTTTTGTTTGTTCTTTAAATATCCATATAGTTTGTTATAATGGAGTGACACAGCAAATTATTATACAGATACACCATCATTTTCCAGGTAACATATTGAACATGCTCTATTAGGGCTTCATTTCCTCTTGTGTGGCTCAAAGGCAGTGTTTATTATCTAGCCATGCTATTGAATAGCAATTGCATAATGACTTTTATTGTTCTTTATTCTGTGAAATTTAAACTACAAGGCACTTATATTTATTTCATTTGGTAACTCCATAATTAAATTTCAGCATAACAAAGAAGAAATGATGGAACTCAGGATGGAGATAGAAAGTCTGCGTTTAGCTGAAACTGATCCAGCCAAGAAAGGAAATTCTCTCTTTGCTGAAGTTGAAGACCAAAGGCAGGCCATGGAGAAGAAGCTGTTATCCTACAAAACAAATTACAATGTTGTCAAAAAACAGTATGACCTCAAGACTGAACAGATTAACAAAATGAAGGTTTGTGAATAGTTGTATATGATGTTATTATTGCTTTTATTCTTGACAGTAGATATACAGCATGCATTGTTAATGTTCTTTTTATTTTTGTTTGCAAGGGTATATATATAAACTACTTCACTTTTAAATGTATACTGGTACTTTTGACAGCTTTTGTCCCCATGCTTTATTATTGATTATTCAATTTTTTACTTATATTTTGTATATTATCACCACTATTAATAGAATTTTATCTTTACTTTCCTTTCTTTTCTTTATTTCCTGTCTTTTTTACCAAAGACTTTGGCAGAACCGTTAGTGTCATATATTCATAGCATTTTATCATGTCTGTATATTGTCATGTCTCTTGGTCTCATTTATAATGTAACAGATGCTTATGTTGACCTTTTCTTTCTAGTTACAACTGGCTTCTTTGCTGAGTTTAAATAGCAGTAAAGCAGACACTGAATACCTGAATCATCTGGAGGAATCACTAGCCCTGGCACGTACTCAATTGGCTGATTCTGGGAAAAGGTGCCGTGATCTTGAGGCCCAGCTGAGTGCAGTGGTCAACCCTCAGGTGAGTGGCATGGTGTCATGTTTTGGAGATGTAAATAAGTTTCTGCTGTTTCTAGCTTTATCATAGTTATTTAATGTTATGTCTTGTGTATATTGATCCTATATAATCACATCAAATTCACTTTTATCTGCACTACTATAACTTTTTTGGTAATACTATACTGTTGCATTTTGAAAGCAATTTTGTCTTACATTCATCACATAGATCTATTTGTGTCATCATTTGTAAAAGTCATTACTAACTTTCAGGGATACTATTCTTTTTTTTTTTTTTCTTTCTTTTTTTTTCTTTCTTTCTTTCTTTTTTTTTTTCTTTCTTTCTTTTTTTTTCTTTCTTTCTTTCTTTTTTTTCATCTTTTCTTTCTGATCTAAAATCATCAGTTTAAGCAACATTTAGATAATAAACGTTCCACTCACCCCTACTTAGATGGATTCTGGTGAAGGTGAAGAAAACAAAGAGACATTCTTCAAGGGGATGTATTTAGAGAGTCAGTACGTACCATGATTTGATTGTTTTTAGTAAAGGTTTTAATGTTTACTGTTTATTTGACCTTTGTTTTCATTATCAGAAGTTTTTTATTTGTTTATCCATTTCGGTGATAAAGTCTATTGATTGCATTATGATATATTCGGAATATAATGTTTTGATTCCACAATAATATTTTGTGCTAACAGTCTACATCTTTCATGACAGACAAAAACTTGCTGACCTTGAGCAGGAGTTACAGAGTGCAAGATTTGATAAAGTTGCACTAAGTGACCGAATATTACAATTACAACGGAAGCTTCGTCAGGCTGAGGTCACAAGAGATGCCTCTAATTCAGAAGCCATCAGGTTGCGAGTGAAGTTGGAGGAGATGGCAATAAAGAAGGGTGAAAAGATGGGTGAGTGCAGCACAATCAAACTCTTCAAATTTGAGTCATCAAATGCGTGAATGATATAGAGGAATCTTATTCTTTTAGTTGTTATTATGTTTTTTATACTTATATAGATATTTCACATTTTGTTCATTCTCTCATTGACAACAGATCGTGAGTCAAAGAATCTGAAGCAAGTAGTGGAAAAGATTCCAGGTTTCCAGCCTGCCTCCAAGCAACCAGAAGAAATACAGCAGCCTCCACAGCCACCAACAGCTGAAGAGAGCATGCCTTTGAAGGAAAAGTTGATTGACAGAAACACACTACAGGAAGTTGACAAAGAAACTGTGAAAACTGAGAGAGAGTCAGGTGATACTTTCTTTTCTGAATTTTTACAGAATATTACCCAAGATGTGCAAATCGTTTCTTTTGTGAATAATCTAAATAGTGTTGGAAATAGGTTATCATTTTGTTTGGTTTTCCTTGCTTCAGATAACTTTTTTGTTTTCATTTTAGCTTTTGAATTTTAATAATTTACTGTTTCCGTCTTCTTTCTTAGTAAATGAGGATTCAGAAAATGTAGCACCAGCTCCAGAACCCGAGATGAAAAAGAAAGCAAAGAAATCTGTCCGTATGATGGAGACAGTTGCTGTTCAAGAGTGTGATGGACAGGCAAGTTACAAATTTTTTTATGTTTCTAAACTGTGCTGATTACATTTTGGTAATAGAAATAGTCATCCTCAGCAACTGATTAGAAGTAAATGAAAAATAATGAATAATTGAACAAATATGTATGGATGTATATGTAACACACACATATACATATATATGCTTTTGTGTGTGTGTGTGTGTGTGTACATGTATATGTATATATGTGTATATGTATATATGTGATATATATATACGTATGTGTGTATATATATATATGTATATATATACATGTGTGTGTGTGTGTGTGTGAGCGTGCATGTGCATGGATGTATACATGTACACATACATATATGAGTTTATTATATATACTATCTTATTCATATACATTCATACAAAGCATATATAAATGAGGCTACATACAATCTACTATGTTTAACTTGTCTTTCTATCTACAGGTACAGGAAGCAGAGATGAAAAAAGAGGATGGACTTGCAAAAGCAGAACGAAAGAAAAAGGTCTTAAGGAAGTTGGAGGCGCCTGTGGTGAAAGTTGGCAATGGAGGCCAACCCAATGAATGTAATCAGCAATAGATTTGTGTGTATTTTTATGTGTGCGTGTGTGTGTGTGTGTGTGTGAGTTTGTGTGTAGATAAAGATCATAAGTACATTTTAATAGAACATGCATAAAATCTTTATGTACGAAATATATGCACATACATTGCTCAATTTAAAGAACAAGAGACTGATGTTCAATTAATTTTCCACTAATTTTACAATGTTTGCTGGTCATTCTCTCCTGAAATAATACTTTTCATAATCCTGTACCTCAAGAAAGAGGTAACTTTTAGATCTGTAAATATGATATGTCTTTGTTTTTATTTCTGCTTTTTAATTTTTTTATTTTTTAGCAAAGGACTATTGTATTTTGGTAACTAAGTTTTACAAATGATTGTGTGTATACTATGCCTGATAATCTGATTCTTCTTCACCTTTTAATGTCATGTGTAATCTTTATTTATAAATATATGTATATTGTTAAC